TAAAGGATTTTGTAAAATTCTCGAACGCATTCTGTCACATGGAATATTGACTATAAAGATTGTGAAAAAACTAAAATAAATTTACTATTTTTAGTCTCAAGTAATAAAATATTTTCCGTGATTATTATATTTAAAGAAATAAAATTTTCACTGTGAAAAACTATTTTATTCTCAAAATTAAAAAAATCTTATAGCTTTGCACACATTTGAATATTGGAGCAATCAGAATTTTAGATGGAAGACAAATGGGATAATATTTCAGTGGTTTGCAACACTGACATGAGAAATCAATGCATTATCTATTATATAATTTTAATCTAAAATAAATCCTTATTTAAATGATTTACTCCGAGGTAATATCTTGAAAAGTTAGTCCTCATCATTCTTATCTTCTATAAAATAAAGCATTTAAGAATTATTATCAGGGGAATTGATATTATTTTGCTTACCAAAAAACATAAAATGCTGTGTTAAAAGGATGCTTATTCCCTTGAACCCGCTATTACTCTATGTACTTTTGACTCCTACAATAATTAATTTAGAAAAATTATAAAAATATGTGAGCTCATACAATGTGATATTTATTTACCTTTTATAAAAGTGAATCATTTACCATTTTATAAAGGAACAAATTTTAAAAGAAATCTTTTTGTTCAAAAATTTGAAAAAAATTACCAAAATATATAAACCAACTACAATGGAATATTTCCATTTTATAAATAACTATGAAAAGAAGTTTTTTTATTCATAATTTTATAAAAAATACCAATGAACTTTTGTTGTCAAGTCTCAAATGTATAAATACACTTTCATATGTTTGGTTTTATTAAAATTCCAATGACTGCAGTAAACATTGTCGAGGGAGCCAGTAATAGCGGTGTCAAGGGAATAACTGCCCCAGCGTTTTCTTTTCTTTTTCTTTCATTTTTTTTTTTTTTTTTTTTTTTTGTTATGTTTTTTTTTCTATTTTGGATTTTTTGCGGGTCCAAAGGGTCAACATTGCCGGAAAATTTAAGTTTCATTATTTTAACCACACATTGTTATTTCCTAAATTCCATGATTTGGTTTCCATCCTTAGGAATAACTGTAAAACACTTTCCCATCCCCTTTTATAAACAGAAGCACACAAATGCATGCTAGGATTTTTTCCTAGCCAACAAAATAGACTGGTTCTCGGTTTGACCTGACGTAGTCCCGGTATGTCTTGTCTTGAAGTCAGAACGCTACGTTTGCTTGTTCGAACTTGCTTTTATGTGATGACGCCAATTCTAAGTTTTTGATTTTTTTGCCATATTGCTGTTGCTTTGCCTTATTACTGTTAATTTGTCTTGCATATATTGTTTGCTTGCTTTATATTATTTTTTCCTTGTTCTTTTGTTACTGCTTATTGCAAATTTTGTCAATTCTGTTGGACAGTTCTGTTACTTACTTTGCATTTGATTATGACTGCTCACTCCACACCATGTATGATATATGTTCCTACTTACAATATTACCATGTAAAATATGGCTTAATCCTTCTACAAATTCTGTGAAAAATTCTGTTGAAATTAATGTAGGAGATTTTCATTTATTTGTTTTTTCAATCAGTGCGGCTTAGCTACGTTAATGAGTTAACCCCTGCTAGGAAATGCACTATTCCTGTTATAATTTTCCCCATCCCAATCTTACAAAATATCTAACAAGCATCCATTGGTTAATCACCTTCAATCTAGCTCGCTGATTGGTCAGTTCCGACCAATCAAACCGCCTGCACGCGACAAATCTTTTTTACCGCGTTTTCCACCTGAGCCAGTCACGTGATTCACGATGATATATAAACAGAACACGTGTAAGCTCCCTGAGTAGTTTCTATTCATCTCTCTGGTGCGTCTCATTCCTTGCTACCAAGTACCAATATGTAATCTTCAAGAACTCCCTTAACTAATGCAGTCAGACGTTAAAGACCATTACCAACATTCACGCAAGTACGAACATTGAAATCTCTTCTGAACTTTTACCAACTTGTACAATACACAATTCCAAACACGCTAAAGAAACTTTATTCTTCTAAATTACAGTTTAATAATTACTTTCACTTTATGAGCTCGAATACAAATATTTACCTAATCTAAGAGACACAACTCTGTCTGACCTTTTCACTCAGTATTCATGCATGTATACCAAATATTAATAAATTCAATTGTTACGTTTTGAAACAAGATGTTTTTGAATCATTATTCTTTGTCTTGTATTAATTGTTGTGGATGGAAGTTTATTGAACACACACAATTTTAAGCCTCCTGATAATTCAAACCTTCTATTCCTCTCCAACACACATCACACACATCCGCAACAAGGGAATGATGACAACTGAAAAGCAGAAATAATTACGAGTCTGCGCACCCGTAGTTAATGATAATATCCAACCAACAAACGTGTAATATTTTTAAAAAAATTATTTTAACAATAGTTAGAGAAAACATTTCCTAATATCTTTGTATATTTATTTATTAATTTATTAAGCATCAAACTTCCGCAATAAAAAAGGAAGATATAAAATGTTTTAATCAAAAAATAAACATGAAACATAAAAAATCGTCTTTTTTATGACAAATTTTCGACTGGTGTACACTTTGAAACACTCAGAAATAAAACGAAATAGTCAATATGACGTAATTCATAAAAGTGTTCTTGAGACGCTCAAAAACAATAATATCTGAACCGTAATAAGCTACATTTTTAAAAGAAAAGCAATAATGCTTATCTCCCCTTGGAAGCATCCGTATGAGAAAATAAATCATATTTAAAATAATACGACCATCGCTTTTTTCTTGTTTTTTTTTTGTTTGTTTTTTTGTTTTTTTTTGTTTTCCTGTAAGTTGCATATGTTTGTTTTATTGGTTATTATTAATTAATCTGAAATTTTTTTCAAAAAATAAAGTATTATCATTATTATTAATTTTTGATTAGTGTATATTTCATCGTATTGTATTGTTTGTTATTGTTTGTCGCTGTAGTAGATGTATTGTAAATTGTTTAAATTTCTTAGATGAAGCACTGATTGCCATATCACGTTGAGACAACGGTTCTTGTCCGATCGCCGAAGTTACGCAACGTTGAACCTAGTCAATACTCAGATGGGTGACCGCTGGGTAATGCCATATGTTGTAAACTTAGCAAGCCGGTGAGTGAAACGATCTCGCTACTTATATTAATAATATATCTTGATATGTGGAAGTACTTCTGGACTGACAAGCATCAAAACTTATCTGGTCTTGGAGAAGAGGAAAGCATTAATATTGTACTTGTTTTGTTTTTGTTTTTTGCTAGTTTTTTTTTTCTTTCATTTTATTGTTGATTGTTTGCACTTCAAACTAGCAATAGACACAATACTCTTAAGTTGGCTTCATTCCTTAGATGAAGCATTATCCTTATTTTTTGCCGATGCGTCCCCTAAAATAACCAGTATTCTGGGAGATGGCTGCTTTTATCGAGACAACACCTCTAAATAGATTGCTAAGCAATGCTAAAGAGCTTCTGTAGCGATATCAGTCAGAGGAAATGGAAACATCTGGGCTGTCACAAAAATTGTTTCAGACATTTATTGTCCTGATTATTATCCGCTAAGTGGACTTCACAAAGGACCATGACAAATGATCCTGATAAAGAAAGTCACTGAATGAAGCCAGACCTTGATAAATTACTTTTTTTAGATAAAGATGACAATACAAAGATCAATGTTCTCTATAAGTCAGTGGTCACTAGTAGCCGAAAACAGATAAACCCACAGAGAGCGGACAAGAGGCTGCTCGCCACAACGCTACAGGGCTAGACTGTTCGCATTCTCTGACCCCGTTTCACCTCTGCCTCGTTCGTCTACAGCAGTAGGTTACAAACAGAATAAAATTTGCCTGCTACTACAATAGTCCCATGGTTTTATTTCGTGAATGACTATCTGGACATAGGATTATTTTTTAAGCCACCATCGTTTGACTGGAAAAAGATGCACCCTGAGAACGAAATTGGAGTTTGGTCTGATCTACAACGCTAAACTTCTATCGGTCTGTTAATCTATTTTTATGTCTATACCTCATTCAATGACTTTCTACATTCAGTGAATCTCGAACTTTATGAAATTTAGTAAAAAAATATTTAGAGAGGCTTGAGTCTCAGTTCGTTATTATCGCTTTGTGTTATTTCCACCGGCGGCAGATTGCAAACTCATTTGACTTTTATTTCCAACTTTATTTATTATTATTATAATCTTAAGTTGCATGTGTTTGCTTTATTGGTTATTAATTAGTCTGAAGTTGTTCAAAATTCTTTCCTAAATGAAGCATTATCCTTATTATTAATTTTGACTAGTGTTTATTTCATCGTATTTTTTGTTATATTTATTCCTTGTTGTAGAAATAGATGTAACAGCCTGAATGTGTCCGAATTTCTTAGAGGAAGCATTGCAAATATACTTCATTTTTTGATATTTTTTCTTTTATCTGCTTTCTGTTGCTTGTTTGCACCTCAAACTAGTAAGTAAATTGTGGTCATTTCTTAGATGAAGCATTTTCATTATTTTTTCACTGGTTTTTCTTTCATTTTCATTACAACTTGTAGCAAAAGACGCAATAGTGTGAATTTGTCGGAATTTCTTAGATAAATCATTGTTGTTATTAACTTTTGCCTGGGTTTTCTTTCATCTTATTTCTCTTGTTCATTTCCACCAAGTTGTAATAAGATGTCATAATAATCTTAAGGTGTATGAATTCCTTAGATAAAGCATTGTCATTAATATTAATTTTGACTAGTTTATCTTTTATCTTATTTCTCTTTCTCGTTTCCACATAAGGCGTAATAGTCTTAAGCTCTGTATATTTCATAGCTGAATTATTATTATTATTATTAATTTTTAACCATTTTTTTTTTAATTCTTTTTCTTTTTATTGCAATGCTCGTTTCGGTTTTTTTACATCTAGCGGGAAGAACATCGGCCGGAAATGAAAATGTTGCTTCCGGTATCCATCAAAGCAAACTTGCCTTTCTTTTTTGGTCGATCTTTGATTGTTTCGCAGTAGTTTCAGACGCGCTGCTGCTTCTTATCCGCCCGGTCATGTCGATGTAGCCTGATAAAATATCACCGTTTAATTTTGTAGAGTTTGGCGAGATCGGTGTGGTTGGCGGAGTACATAAAGCCGATGGCATCGTCAAACCGGACCGTTCGTTAGACTTATGAAGAAAGACGTCGTTAGCCAAAGATTGTTCAGTAGCTGTGTTCTTTATATCCTTTTTCAGTTGCTTTAACATCACCTGATACTCCAGTTTGCCTTCCAGAGAAATACTACGGCGTCGATTCAATGAGAACAATTCGAAATCAAATTCTCCATCACTACTTTTAGTGTCACCGTCGCTCCAGTGACCAGAACCGAAATCTCTGTGCTTGGACGAATGGACAACGAGTGGACTAAGAACAGGAGAAGTGTCTTTATTTTCAGTATCGTTTGTTGAAATTCTAACATCAAACGAGCTCTGGCGCATGAACGTTTTGTGTTTTAATAACCTGAATGGGTCATTTTTCAGAAAAGCCAAAGGATCTGCTCTACGCTCGACAACAAAGACACCTTCTTTGGTTTCCTCGTCGTTCCAAAACAGGGACGATGCGTCTGACGTCGACCACGAATGCAAATGCCTCTTCCTTTGCCATGTATTTACTAGGTCTTTTTTCGGGTTGAGCGTCCCATCACTTTCCCGACGGGCACGTCTCATCCCTGAAGGTTCTGTTTCCTTCAAGTCTGTCTTCTTCCTCTGCGCAGCCCATTTCTGAAAATCTTTGATGATCATGTTCAAGTCATTAGCTTCGCTATTCCCTTTTTGGTTCTTGAGCTTTTGTTTGATCTGCGGGTTGATGTTAGAAAAGGATTCCAGAAAACGGTCCTTCATCGACATTTTAAGGAAAGACTTATCTTTTGAAAACGCCAACGATTTAGGTCTCTTTGGGAGAGCTGGGGGAACATTTTTTATTTCTTTCTGATTTTTTTTAATATCTGCAAGGTCTTCGTAATCATTGGCTTTCGGTAATAGATTCTGGAGAGAGTGGCTCCTAGAACCAGAGATGTTGTTTCTGTCCGACGGAACATCCGTTTGCAGAACATTAATTTCCTCTGGATCGATATCCCAGTAAATATGGCTACCGGAATAATCGTCAGACTCCTTATCGGATTCTAACGATTTGGATAATGCCTCTGTGATTGCAGGATTTTGGAGAATTGCTTTTTTAGGATACGGCATTACCTTCTGTCGGTCGATGGATAAAGAGATACCACTGTCACCTGAGTTGCTTCGATTCGGTTGTTGCTTAAAATCAAAACTTCCCGTCTCTGAAGTGATCGAAAGAGCCTCCGAATCCTTGGACCCACAGTTGTTTGGCATCGTAGACGGAAACTTCTGCCCGTTGTTCTTGTCTCCTAGGCAGGGTTTCGTTATCAGTTTCGCTGGGTCGGCCTTACGAACCGAATCGCAATCGGGAAGTCGGACTTCAGAATCGCAGGTTTGCGGAACGCATTTTTGTATTAGTGCCTCTTCAGCAAGGAACACCTCGCCCATTTCTTTATTTTCATCTAAAGACGATGGCGTGTCCGATGTAGGAGTGGAAGGGACGTGAACCCAGGTTCGGGCTGGCTTCGGAGGTGGTACACACATTGAAAGATCTAAGTTCAAAGCCTCTCGCAATTCATTGCTACATTGATCAATCATCGACATAGGTCTTTCTTGCTCGATTGAACAACTTCTTTGGAAATCGCATAGCGAGAGTGTGTCGGATTTTAAACCTTGGGGTAAACTGTTATAGCGATTGTATTGTGGGGCGGAGAGGCTGGACGAGGTTGTTCGATTTCGCGATCTTTCTTTCATTGCGACGGAAATGTTTGCTCGGATAGCTATTAGAATTTCTTCGGCTCTTGGCGTGACAAACATGATAAAATTTCCGCTAGCCATAATAGATCTGGAAAGAGAATTGAATATAGTACATTTTAGAATTGTACAATATTGGAAGAAGATGAAATTGTGGCAAACATGGACTTACGTGTCCTCAATAAGACATAGTGTCAAAAGGAGATTTTCCGCTGATGTAATGGAATAACCTAACACCTTCCCATGAGTGACTACGCTATAGGTAGTAATTACCTATAAGTATCTGTAAGCCAACGGACTACAGAGACTAGCTGGGATCTGTTCCAGCTAGACAGTCGAACTCTCTGCCCGAAGACAGAGGGGAACCCGGACGAGGCTCCGCCGAAGGGCAGAGTCTCGTTCGTGGAGGTAGACTGCCCCTGAACCCGTTTATGCGTGTTCAAAAAGGGAATATTTTTGGTTGAGCCTACGGGCTCGGAGAACCCACATTAAACCGGCCTTGGGCTACATGCAACCCTCGTGGATGGGGGTAGCTAAATATACTAGCTGGGATCTGTTACTCAGCTCTTAGCTGCTGTCGAACTTTCTGCCTTCGTTTAGAGAGGAACCCGGATGAGGCTCTGCTCTTCGGCATAGCCTCGTCCGGGGACGTGACAGACCCGAACACGTTTATGTGGTGTTTACGGGTAATTTTTGGCTGTGCCTACGGGCTCGGATTGCCCCATATTAAATCCGGCCTTGTGCCACATCCTACCCCGTGGAGAGGCTGGTAAATATTAGTAGCTGGTATCTGTTGAGTACGACTCAGACTTACGCGAGAACTACCAACCTTCCAATAGTAGCACTCATTACTGGATTGACTTGCGACGACCTTGTGCATAATTGTTACCTTTATTCTTATTATAGTGTTTTTTTTATGGGGGGGTGGGGGTTACAATAAACCTTTATTTATTTTATCCACCTTGTTTTTCGAGTATATATTTTTATTAGCACGGAAAATAACATCCCATGACACCGCTTTTATTTTAACTAACTTCATTCCCTCGGCAATGTTTATTGCTTTAAAAAGTGATGATTAGAATTGTGATAATTGTGAATTTATAAATTTTTTTAATGCTTGAGAACTTACAACAAAAATATTAAACACGTTATTTATTAAAAATTGGAAACTTTATTTTCAAGAATAATTCTATATTTACAACATTCCAAAAACTAATACAATTAGAACTTATCACTTAGCAATTTATAAAGAAATAAATATGAAGAAAAAAAAAAACATTATTCAGAAATTTATAAGCATTTACTAAATTATTAAATTAGGTGAACATATCCTTCCCTACAGGAAAGCCACCAGTCTGCCACTGAGTGGCATGCCACTAGCGTCTACTGCTGGTGGCCCGCGGTCAGACCGCTGGCGTGTTCCTCAAGACAGTGTTACAACTGGCGTACTGTTAGAGGCCCACCGATAGCTACCACTAGAGAATCGCTGGCGTTGCCATCGGCGGCCCGCCAGCGGGCCACTAGAAACTTGCGTGCAGAGTTATTATTTACCATTTTATAAAGTTTGAATCGATTAGCAATTAGCCGATGTTTTGCCAACCATCCCAATAAATAATATAATAAATAAAGTGTAAATAAACAATCAGACAAATAAATAGCGTTTATTATTTTTGTCGTAAATTCCTAAGAACGAAGAAAATGTATGAATTCGATTTCATTTGTTTAGGCTTCATTCCAGCCCTAATCGTGTTTTTTAAAAAAATAAACATTGCCGAAGGGTCAAGGTAATTTAAGAAAAAGCGGTGTCATGCGAAAAACAGTCCTGTTGACACTAAATATTATTGTGGATACCTAAGTCCAGATTTGCTAAAATTGTTTGTATAGTTTTGTCTATATGAATGAATGAACGGTAAATTTTAGAAAACGTAAAAACCAAAAAAAGGGTGTGTCAAAAAGAGGGTTTTTCTCTTGTCACCGCTATTACTGCATTACTCCCTCAGTAATTTCTACTGTTTAAAAAGCTATTTTTAGAATTTTATAAAGCCGTAATATGTGAAACTGAATTTATACATTTTCTTTTATTCGCGAGAGTTGACAACGAAAGAATGAAACACTATTCATTAGATATATGCTACGCCGCAAAAATCTCCTGAGTCGACCAAGCATAGAAATGAATACAATATGGGGAACAGTAATAAGGAATGCCAGAGAAAAGCGATAACAACAAAAAAAGTTGCAATATGAGCTCTGGTAAAAACATGGAATGATAACAGCAAAAAATTGCAATATGAGCACTGGTAAAATGGTTGCTGAAGACATTAGGTTTATAATACCCAGAAATTAATACACAGATGTCCTCAAGGACACATGGCACAGTGGTTAGATCCAGTGACAGGACCCAAAGAGTGTGAGTTCAATACCGGGTAAGGCAGTGGAGAACTTGGAGAGGGGAATTAACAGATAACTGACAGCCATTAAACGTGGAACTAGAACAGTCTACCCCAGTGAGCAAAATAAAGAGTTTAGTTCGACATTCCTGAAGAAGGCCGGGCGTATAACGACCGAAACGTTATAATAAATATGGCAACAAAGATGAGGACAATAGTCCGAATAATGTAAATAATATTCATTAGATATTTTTATTTAGATGAATAATTTTATATTTACAAGATTACCCTGTAATAATTGTCACAAAAAATACATAGGAGAAACTTCAAGAATTTAAATAAAAAATGATATAAACACAAAATGGAATTTTATAAAATAATATATCACATATGTTGGTTGCCCACCGTAAGGAGACTGAACACAACTTTGACATAAAAAAACGCTACGCTTATCAAAGGAGAAAATAATTCACTACGACCTAAATGTCTAGAGAGTAACTTAATCGCAAGGTTATCTACAGTAAATTTACACCCTGGCTCTTACAATATTTTACCATTAATGGCAGATCTTCTAATATCACAGTGTAAAATAACTACTTACAATAGTGATGGAAAGAAAAGGAAAAAGACCCCAAAAGAATTCTGTGGATGACCTTGCGAACAGAAATTCCTAGGTTTACGTCTTCTGGTTTCCATGGCATCAAAATACAACTATCTATCGACTAAAAC